AGTGTGGATTCTTATTAAATTTTCCATTGTTTGAAATTAAGAGGTTTCAATTCTCTTAGATGGATTGCCACTCAAGTCTATATATCCTGTCAGCCGTGCTGTTTATATCTTTTCCCTATATATCTAATCATGATTCTCCACAACTTCCTTTTCTTTTTTAATGTCTCTACAAGATATCGTCAATCATGATTTTCAACAGATTCCTTTTTTAACTATTTCTGAATTTCTATGCATTCTTGGGAAGAGTGGAATGATTTTGTTGAGACGGACAAGTATTAGGAAAAGGAAAAAAGTCAATCAGTTGTGACGTGATCCCCAAAAAGGAAGAGGTATTGAGCAAAATTTCATGGGAAAATTAGCTCAGGGGTGAGGTGTTGTAATGGAATGTCCCACTGTCCCTATCGCCTATTGTGGACTTGCTTCGGGAATTATTAGCTTGCTAACCGATTCTCTGTCTTTCAGTAGTGTATTGTCTTTTACCACTTTCTTTCATCTACACCCGTGTTGCTTTTTCTTTCACACGAGTACCACCTTCGTCTGTTTGTAACCTTTTTAAAGGATATAACAGGTCTCTTGTTACCTTTTCTATCCTTTGAAATTCAAAGTTTTCCTTATCTTAGAAGGGTTGCCACTGATCTATGGCTGAGACAATCAGGACTATTCACAGCTTCTCTTTGTTTTCTTAATGCCATGTATCTTCAGGATATATATCAATCATGACTCCATACATTTTACTTTAGTATCTGTGAAGAGGAGTGGTTTCATAAAATCTTTTTATCACTTGGAATTCAGTTTTTTTTTCTCTTATTCTGGTTACAATCAAGGTTTAAAAGCACAATTTAACATGCCTGGGAGAAGGAGTCATTTTATGACAAAACGATATTTGTGTGAAAGTGAACGCAGCATCTTAAGCCGGAATTTCTCTGTCCGCATCGATATCGGTTACACTCTAAAGTAGATGGATTCTGTTGGGTTTGTAATTGTGGAAAACATTTTTAATTAATCTCGCAACACTTGAATGCTGTAACTTCTTCAATCCTCACTGGGTGTCTTGCTCTTTTCAACTCGTTCATCTAATCTAATCCTCGTCAGTATGATTACGGATAGAGCAAGGTACGGATGGAACTATTTTGTTGAATGGCGTGATCACACTTCAAAAAAAGGTTCATCATGATATAAAACAGAATCAGCGAATTCGGTTTTTCATTCCTGGATTTTTGTTATTCATATTAGATTAAAAGTCATCCCCAAATGAATGATAGGATTACTTATGTAAATATGAATTTACATTAAATTTACATAACACGTTTGATGTCTAGGCACATAGATATTAATAAATTCTGGCCAAATAGTCTAACATCAGGTCTCAGGCCGTTTGGTCAGAATTTATTATCTACACCAACGATTCCCAATGTAGGGCGCATACTCCACCGGTGGGGCATGGTAATATTTTAGTGGGGCATGCGTAGGATGGTCACCCTTCAGTTTACTATACCAACAGAATAAGGGGTCAATTTGAGAATGAGTTATTAATAGTGAATTGTTTTCTAGTGAGTCTGAGTGAGAGTATTTATGTTAATTCGTGTTACCACATACGATGCATATAGTGTATGCATACATAAAATTATTTTGCATGTATGTCCGTACATGTGAAATTTGTATACAGGGTATTTCCCTTTTCCCCACACTCACGTGTCTCGCTCAACAAAGGAGATGTCGTGATGAATGTCGCTAGAAGAGCTCATGTTTTATTGGCCAATCAGCGTGTAAGGAAAGGGCGTGATGCATGTCGCTGGAAGAGCCCATGTTTTATTGGCCAATCAGCGTGTAAGGAGAGGGCGTGATGCATGTCGCTGGAAGAGCTCATGTTTTATTGGCCAATCAGCGTATAAGGAGAGGGCGTGATGCATGTCGCTGGAAGAGCTCATGTTTTATTGGCCAATCAGCGTGTAAGGAGAGGTCGTGATGCATGTCGCTCGAAGAGCTCATGTTTTGTCAGCCAGTCAGCGCGTGTGAACATTCAGTTTGATTCCTTCGCGTGAATTGCAGTTAAATTTTGAATATGTAAGAATTAAATATTATAGGGGGCACCAGAATTTTATAAGTACCAAAGTGGGGCATGGCCAAAAATTGGTTGGGAACCACAGATCTACACCCTTAGTTATCAAAAGTCTTATTACTCTCTTTATATTTATTTGGCAGTAATATACAGAGCCCGCCAAAAAAAAAAAAAAAAAAATACACACTGCAGGAACTGAAAGAACTCGTGATGTCTGAATAAATTTTGTATTACAATATCTAATATTGTAATACAAAATTTATTCAGACATCACGAGATTAATGCAAGTTAATCTTAGGAATCTCCAATCACAAGCGATGCTCAAGATGTTGGCCTTATCTTACAGGCATTAGTACGACGAACTACTGCTTAGGTAACGTGGGTGAAAATGTCCAATGGGATTCCTACTCATGTATTTTCAATCGCTTGTCTAAAGGCCGCCAATGTAATGCCATCTGTCGAGAAAATATCGTACACAGTGTTATCGCAATTTGATAAAACTACGAAAAGATAATTTTTTTTCTTTCCTGGGGCTTGTATAAATTTTATGTCGGACTCTTTATACTTGCCGAAAACCTGTCTTGCAAACATTAATATTAATAGATTTACTTATAAGATTACTAGATTTAAAATTGACAACTTTTTTCTATTTCATTGAAACAAGGGTTGAATTCTGCCATCTTTCTTTCTTTCATTCTTTCATTTACTCACCGAAACCAAGCAGTATATTTGATATGTTAGTTCCGTGTTTCCAGACGGTCAATACGGAATAGGTATTTATGAGGTATTGGAGAGTGTAACGGTCGTGCGAACTAACTAAGATAGGGAAATACAAGCATAGTTCTAACAGAGATAATATATACAAAGATTACATTTATCAGATTTTGGACTATCATGCTTTACCCCAAAAATTCGTATGCGAGTCTATTATATTTATATATAAAAAATATGATGCTATTTTAAATTTTCATGTTCGAAAGAAGGAACATGCCGAGTCCCTTCAGGACTTTGGCGATCATAACTCTTCCTAATTTCCTGTTCTCTGTAGCTCTTGATAAATTTGTTGTTTTGTTATCTCTCCTATTCCTGACAAGCTTGCAAAAAGGAGGTGGCGTACATCTCAGCATAGTTTACAAGATATTCAATAAAAGTATTTTCACCATTCGTGGCCTCTGAAGTACGCTGGGACTGCATTTAACTCTTTCGGTTAGCCCACCTGCAATGTTTACTGTATTGTGTCAGCAGCTGAAAGAGAAATAATCCATCACTGGATTTTATTCGACATCTCTAAGTTCGTATCTATGTGAGCGTATAGGCTCGAGTTAATGTCTAAGGAGGCTATAGTACTATTTACTAGCTGCCTACAAATTGTGCTAGACTTACTAGTTGCCTACATATTGTGTAAGATTTGCTAGCTGCCTACGTATTGTGCTAGATATACCAGATGTCTACGTATTGTGCTATATTTTTTCACTGCCTACATATTGTGCTAGATTTGCTAGCTGCATACGTATTGTGCTAGATTTGCTAGCTGCCTACGTATTGTGCTACATTTACGATCTGCCTACGTATTGTGCTAGATTTTCTAGCTGCCTACATATTGTGCTAGATTTACTAGCTGCTTACATATTGTGCTAGATTTACTAGCTGCCTACCTATTGTGCTAGATTTACTAGCTGCCTACCTATTGTGCTAGATTTACTAGCTGCGTACGTATAGTGCTAGATTTTCTAGCTACCTATATATTATGCTAGATTTACTAGCTACCTATATCTTATGCTAGATTTACTAGCTGCCTACGTATTGTGCTAGATTTACTAGATGCTTACGTATTGTGCTAGATTTTACTAGCTGCTTACGTATTGTCCTAGATTTACTAGCTGCTTACGTATTGTGCTAGATTTTACTAGCTGCCTCCGTATTGTGCTAGATTTACTAGCTGCGTACGTATTGTGCAATATTTGCTAGCTACTTACACGTTGTGATAGATTTACTAGCTACCTACGTATTGTGATAGATTTTACTAGCTGCTTACGTATTGTGCTAGATTTGTGAGCGCTAACAGTAGTCTAACTACAGCGTTCCCAGTAAAAAAAAAGTAGTAAATTCAGAAAGACATCAAACAAGCGTTGAAATTCAGAGGCAATTTCTGCACATTTTGTCAATCACCACGTCGGATGTTCTTTGAAAAGCGCAATAACCTGGCGCTCAAAATCAGTGAGTTGTTTAACTCTACGGAAGGGCAGAACGAAAGACAAAATTGTCTGTAAAGAAAAATTAAATGACGAGTACAAGATCGAGCAGCAATTGATCAATCGTAAAAGATCCAATCAGAGTTAAGTCATTACGCGCGAGTCGAATAATTATTCAAGGTAATGAATATTCAAGAAATTTCTTCAAGGTTATTCAAGTTCAGCTATTTCAGAATGGTAAATCAGTGATAATACATTCGTTGCTTTTGTAGAGTGCACTCAGTACATTACCTGCACGTTTAGTGATGCGTAAAATGAAAAAAATTGACATGTTTCAATTTTCTGAAAGAAATATAACCTATATTGCTATATAGACACAAAATAAACTAAGATATTTAATTTAGATAGGGACAGATAGAGATGAAGACATTGTCTTATTTAAATAGAAGATGGTTGACAACATACTGCATGAGGACAGGCACCAAAAACGCATCACCAGTAAAGGTGGTTTCTCTCACTGTTCCGAAGTCTGACGGTACCGGCATTATTGTTTATCATGGTTCATAGCTTACATAACTGTGATGTGGACTATCAGCATTAGCCAACCTTGATCCAATGATAAAGAACAGTCAAGATAATTTCATAACTGTCTATACCGCATACGATTCTAGTAGTTTGATAGTGAGTGAGTGGCGGGGTGATTGATGCTGGAATCATATCAAAATGATGTGACTTTTGACATTGCTTCTAGTACCGGGTGTTCCCAAGTGGTCACCCATCTAAGTACTGACAAGACACGACGCTAATTAACTTCGATGACCGAACGGGAATTGGTGCGGTCAGGATGATTTGACTGTAAGATTGTATTTGTTGAACATTCTACCTGCTCTAGGTGGCGGAACATGAGACTAGGGAATAGATACACTCTAATAGCTACCTAGCTAGATAGGAACACACAGAGCTAGCTAGCTAGATAGATAGCTAGATAGATAGATATGAAGAAACTGTGATAGATAGATAGATAGATAGATAGATAGATAGATATGAAGCCACTGTGAAAGAGTGTTATATATATGTATATAAATATATATAGAGAGAGAGAGAAAAAAAAATTTTGATAGACTGATTGATTGATAGATATGAAGACACCGTGATAGACTGATTTATAGATAGATAAATATGAAGACATTGTGATAGACTGATTGATAGATAGGTAGATAGATATGAAGACACTTCAATAGATAGATAGATAGATAGATAGATAGATAGATAGATAGATAGATAGATAGATAGATATGAAGACACTTCAATAGATAGATAGATAGATAGATAGATAGATAGATAGATAGATAGATAGATAGATAGATAGATAGATAGATATGAAAACACTTTAATAGACTGATAGAGAGAGAGGAAAAATCTAGGATATATAAATATTCCAAATCTAAAATTTTAAAATTCAATCTCATCCAAAATATGGTTCTTAACTGGCCTCTTCATTGAAATATTCCGACAGTCTTACCCCGCTCTTGTGCAACGTTATTTTAGTCATAAATATGAAAGAAGGAGAAAAAACAGTTTTTTTATAGGAAAACTGAGATGATAATCCTTTAAAAGTATTAACAAATATTTAATGAACAAAATACCCTGCCAGTAATAATTACCATCTTTCCAGAACGGTGTGTTTTATATCTGACAGGGTTTTGTTATTTATATCGGTATATTCGAAAGTTCTTCCTTTTCATTGATTATTTTTTCAACTCTCTTCCTGCAGATCATAAATTTATGGACTCTTTAACTTTCCTCCATTTTTTTTTTTTAATATATAGTATATTTTGGCGATCGGCCAAATCAATTTGAACTGAAACTTACGATCATATACAATAGCATTCTGGTAAATATTATATATAAGTAGAAAAGGAAATTTGTCGACGTATTTATTTGCTTATATGTCGAAAAGTTCTCTGAAAAAGAACTTTGGAATTACATCATTTCTTTAAGCAAACACACACACACATATATATATATATATATATATATATATATATATATATATATATATATATAAAAAGTACAGACTCAGCTCAATTGGGAAATATTGTCAAATTATATTGCAGCGTTATTCGTGCTTGCTAGTAAATTTTGTCATGATGCAATGATATATATATATATATATATAAAATATATATATATATGTATATGTGTGTGTGTGTATTCAAATTCATGGTTTTCCTGTACTGCTATGAATCTGAACTGCAGGACACTATCGAGAATGCATAAACATATACACACAAATTTATGCAAGTTATGGTATATACACACATATATATATATATATATATATATATATATATATATATATATATATATATATATATATATATATATATATATATATATATATATATATATAAAAACACTCACTTACAAACAGACAAATACAGACAAACACACATACACACACACACACACACATATATATATATATATATAGTTACAAAGAGACAAAGGCACAAGACAGAACAATAAGGAGAGAGTGCGAAGTGAAAAAAAAAAAAAAAACTTTCCCTATGATTTTAAAAGAATCACTATATATATATATATATATATATATATATATATATATATATATATATATATATATATATATATATTATCGACAGATTCTGTCCAATTATTATTAGATTTTCAAATTTGCGAATTGTTTTATGCAATCGGTAAAGTTACTGAAGTACATTTTTATTTTATAGTGAAAACCGCAATCAAAGAAAATAACACCATGACTATATAAAAATATGTTTTTATAGTAAAAATACCCGCAATACAGTTTTATATTAAAAAACTTCAGCAACAATATATATACCAGAATGTTTAAAGGAAAATGAGCAGCAATTCATTTTATTGTTAAAATAACCAACAATACATTTTATGTGCAGTTGAAGGCATACATTATGTTCAAAATATTTTTAGTTGTAGCCATAAAATTGGGTTAAAAATATTTAGATTTCGGCATTAAATAACCCATTGAAGTGTTGATGTGCTGCTAAAAAATTCAACCATTCAACCATCTTCACGGTTTTGAGTTTATAGTTTTTCTTCTTTGACACCAATTGCCACTCAAGAGTAAAGCACACTGCTATCCATGTATTTAACCCATACCTGGAGGGAGAAGAAGTGGGTCAAGTTTCTTTTCCAAGGGCCCTTAAAGCGACAGTGAAAGGCAAAAGCCCGGTGTTTGAATTTGTCTCGCCGATTTCAGGTTACGCGTCAGAACTGAAAGTGACGTGGAAGAATTAGCCGTATATCAGATTCGGTAATCAAATCTCGAATTCAATTTCTAGGTGTCATTCAATTATCAAGAAAAGAAATAAAGTCTAAAGACATGAAATCTTCCCGCCAAAAATGGACAGCTAACAGAAAAAAAAGAAGCCTTCGCTTGAATGTTTCACGTCTTATTTTCTTTTACAGACAAGTGAAACACTTGTAAAATCCACGATGCTGTTATAGCTCAAATGTCCACAATTTTTTTTTTATTTCCATTCCTGATACTAAGAAACATTGGTTTCCTGCCAAGTTAATTCTGTTATATAAGTAATGTATGAATAAATGGTTTTCTTTAATCAACGTAAAGCCTTGACATGCAGCCATAAATAACAGAGGAATTAAAACACTTGGCAGTTGAAGGTAAATGTAGACACATACAATAAAGATTAAACGCCATAAAATACATTGATGCGTAAGAAAACCCACCGTTAAAATTCTAATGATCGGCGAGATTTCCTTTCATCATGAATATGCACCCGTTTTGTTCGTTAAGTTAGGCGTTTTGTTGATGAAAACGTCAATAAGTCACGCTTATTAAACGGTTTATGTCGTTAGTTTCGGCTACATTCAAATAACAATGAGACTTTAAACTTTCTTGTTTAAAAAAAAAGAGAATTGTTTTCTTATTGCTCTGCCAATTTTTTATATTGCTCGCATTGTCCAAAAAGAAAACTAAGAAAGCTTCCCTAATAAAACTTAGGAGATTCTCTTCTTGTTTCCTAGAATTTTTGCTTAAGAGATGAGATAAAACTGAAGCAACGGTATAAATTAAGAAACTGTTCTGTGATAAATTCGTGCTCATTATAAAAATGCGTTCACAACGAATGTTTCCAAGTAAATCTACCGCCATCCCATACATTAATTTTCTCGGGCAGTTAGTAATGCGTTACATGGTACAAGAGACCTGACATAGATAATATAAATTACGTTGCCGAGTTCGACACAGCAGAACATTGTTTCTAGCAGCGGACTTAGCAATTGATATAATTGTTCTAAATTGTGTCAGTCGAAAAAGAAGAAGCCGCCGCAATGAATTACCGCCTGAATTTTTCAAACAACCATACTGATAAAACAGACGGAAAAAGTCATGTTACTCTTCATTCGTAGGCAAAAGCCAGAGAAATTAAATTGAAATGAAAGATATCAATGGTGACATGAAATTTATTTCCAATTTTTTTTTTGAATCATCTGCATTTTGAAAATGGAGATTTTTATTTTTTTACTATAAAAGAAATGGGGATCACTCGATGCTAAACCGTTCTTCATTTCAAAATATAAAAGGGAAAGAAGACGAAAAACAAGAAGTCTTCTACGATGTTCACAGGGGAGAATTGGAGAAAGGTACCACTGGTTAAGCGCTGAATTTCTTTTCTATTTGGTGTGGCTTTGTTAGGGCCAGAAATAAAGACAGAAAGAGAGGAATTGAGTTAAACAAATATATTAACAGAAACAATAATACAAACTAGAGTGTTACAGCAAGAATGTTCGATCCGACTGTCAGAGCTGACTGCTGGAAACCCCTGTCTTCAAAAGGCAGTAACTGCTCCTATTTATAGCTGGGAAAGTCCATGCGTGAGTGGGTAAATTACCATAACACCATTAATGCGTCTATATGGCGGCAAATGTTAGATATTCTATCCAAAGTTAAAGAGGAGGCGAAGCAGCAAAGATGTGACTCTAAATAATGGGATTAAGAAAAATTCAAGCGGAACATGAGAGCATCGAGGAGACTTAGGGAAACCGAAAACAAGACCGATTTAGAATTAAAAAAGAACAGTTAAAACATCTAGAAAACACGAGGAAAATTATCTTGGAGAATTTGTCACTCGGAGGACTTATTGAAACTAAGACAGTCAGAGAGGAATCAATGAGTAACCCACTTAACAGCCTTGTGCCAATGCATGGAAGATCATGGATTCAAAGAAAAGTTAGACATTTTAATCACAGAGGTCAGTGACAGCAAATCCTCAATGTCTCCACTATCCAGTGTCCTGGGTATGACGATAAACGACATCCGCGTCCTGGGTAACAGCAAGGCCTCTGATCAGTAGATGTTGAAGAGCGTGGAACCACCTCTTAATTGCTGGTGTTCCCAGGTCCACCCTGACCCGGGGTGGTAGCACCTGATAGGGTCCCAGCTACGGGCAAATAGTTAACCCAGAAACTGAGGTAAAAAGCATTATAAATGTGTAAAAATAGGTCTTAATACCAGAAATACTTTGTAAAAAATCATTACCAGAAATAAGTTTTTGAAGAAAAAAAAAGAAAAAGAAAAACTATTACCAGCAATATATTTTTGAAAAAAATATTACCAGCAATACATGTTTTAAAATAATATTACTAGCAATACATTTTTGATGAAAAAATATTACCAGAAATAGATTTTTGACAAAAGAAAATATTACCAGGAAAAAATGTCGGCATTAAATAACCCATTGACGTTGATGTGCTGTAAAACACAACAAACCAAAGCAATCCTCTATCCAATCAGATCGAAGTCCTGACAGCTACAGTGGGTAAGCTAGAATGCTTTGCTCAGATATTCTCACCTAATTTCCACAATAGGATAGAGATTCTACTGAGTGATATGCTCATAACCCCATAACTGGTCTCGGATATCATTTCTAAATTAGACTCTCATAAGGTAAGCGGAGATGACAATATCCCAGCCATCGTCCTAAAGAACTGTGCTCTGATCTGGCTCCAGTCCTCTCTATACCCTACAACTATTACCTAACTGCTTTCTGCATTCCAGCTGTGAAATCCTCTTCTGTAGTTCCTGTTTTTAAGAACTCTGGAGAATATTTTGATCTCTCTAACACTCGCTCTATTAGTCTCTTACGAATTTTCGGCAAAGTATTCCAGGCTTTAATCAATACTGAAGTGGTTAAACATCTTACCTCTGACGACATATTCTCTGACCAAAAATATGGCTTCCGTTTTTCTAAGTCTTCCGCTGATGTGCTAACGGCCATCACTGAATATGTATATCAAGCTCTTGATAATAACGGTGAAGTTCGAGCTATGGCTCTAGATATCTCGAAGGCGGTTGACAGGGTTTAGCGTGCTGGTCT